CATCTGATAGGAAATAGTTAGCTGGGCTTCTCTCAGGGTCCTTCTGAAATTTGGAAAGATGCGTTAATAGATGGTTCTGGGATAAGTGGTAACATGGATGGGTTGGTGGATGGATGATGGACGGATAGGTAAGTGGATGGATAGATTGATGACTGGATGGATGGATGGGATGGATGGATGGATGGATGGATGGATGGATGGATGGATGGATGGATGGATGGATGGATGGATGGATTGACGATCGGATGGATAGATGGGTGGATGGGTGGGTGAGTGGATGGATGAATGGATGGATGAATGATAAGTGGGTGGATGGATAGATAAGTGAATGGATGGATGATGGATGGTTGGACCTGCAGTCTCTTGATGGAGTTTATTGGATCAGGCATTTCCAAGCATCCGCTGCTGTAGCCCCAGCTGGGTGGAGGGTATTGAGATAATTTAGACAAAGGCCTGTGGTCTGGCACTCCCAGTCCAGCCTGGACAACGGTCAGATGCAGATAGTAACTGCCGTAAAAGCAGCTCGGAGCTGGGCTGTTCATCTTCTCCCTCATTTACTCTCCCCACATCGCCATGAAGTGTGTACCCCTGCAATTTTAAAAATGAGGACATGAAGACCCAGAGAGGTGAAGTGACTTTCTCAAGATCACACAGCCAGGGGAAGGGCAACCTGGGAGTGAAACTTGTTCCGACTGTGCGTGCCCTTGGCCACAGACCTTGCTGCGCCCTCAGCCTCCCTGCCTCCATCACTGAAGACGAATGTTGGCAGGTGCTCAGGGCAAGTACACGCGCTCTGGGTTCTGGAGGTCTAGGAGGGAAGGAATTCTGACCCTGGGGTGCTTTATTCTCCTGGAGTCCACTGCCCTCTCCTGACCCCAAACCTCTTCCAAGCCCCTTGGATCCAGTTGCAAGCGTCACGTGCCCTCAGAGGACACGTTCCTGATTGTAGAGGAATTGAATCCCCGTGGTTTACTGGTCCCACTTCCTCCGTGTGACGCTCAGCAGCTGGTGGGAGGGCTCTCATCTCTCTGCTCCAGTGTCTTAGCTCCTGGTGCTGGGCCAAGCCAGCCCTGAGTCAGGATGTGCTGGGGTGCAGTGAATGAATGAAGTGGAATCCCAGAGCACAGCCCACACAGCAGGCTACAGGGAAGCCCCCTCAGGAGGGACTTCTGAAAGGACACTCTTGCTTTCCCCACATCTTCTACCTCACAGGCAGGGGGCCCTAATCATCCTTCCTCTCTGCGAGTCCCTGACTTTCTGAGCCGTAACCTTTGGAAGTCAAGAAATCAAAGGACGTATTGCATTAGGCAGATCTGCTGCAGAAAAGACCTCTTTAAAATCTTAACCAGCAAAGATGTCACTCTGAGGACTGAAGTGTGCCTGACCCAAGCCATGGTGTTTTCAGTTGCCTCATATGCATGCGAAAGCTGGACAGTGAATAAGGAAGACCAAAGAAGAATTGATGCTTTTGATTTATGGTGTTGGCGAAGAATATTGAATATACCGCGGACTGCCAGAAGAATGAACAAATCTGTCTTGGAAGGAGTACAGCCAGAATGCTCCTTAGAAGCGAGGACGGCAAGATTTCATCTCATGTTATCAGAAGGGACCAGTCCTTGGAGAAGAACATCATGCTTGGTTAGGTAGAGGGTCAGGGAGAGAGAGGAAGACCCTCAACGCGATGGATTGACACAGTGGCTGCACCAATGGGCTCAGATATAACAACGATTGTGAGGCTGTCCCAGGACTGGGCAGTGTGCTGTTGTACACGGGGTCGCTATGAGTTGAAACCAACTAGAAAGCACCTAACAACAACAACAGCCTCTGGACGGGAGACCCTGGGCAGTGCAATCAGTTACTGCCATCGGCTGCTAACCGAGAGGTGCCGAGAAGAGAAGCCTAGGGGCCTACTTCTGAAAAATCAGCCACTGAAAACCCCGTGGAGCACAGTTCTACTCTGGCACACATGCGGCGGCCATAAGTCGGAGTCGACTGGACGGCAACTGGTGGGTTAACCTTTGGATAAGAAGTAGCCGAACCACTTTCCTCTAGCTGAGCTCCAGGGTGTTTGGGGGTAGATGGCGTCTCTTGGGAGTGGGCATCCAGGTCTTCGGGGCAAGCTCAAGGGTGGCTCTTCCTGTCTGGGCATGGTTGACCTGTAGCTGGCTGGAAAGGGAGAGGTTAAGTGAGGAGGTGAGACAGGAGCTGGGCACTGTCCTACGGTGACCGCCTGGTGCCCCGGGTGGGGTGGGGGTGTCACTGCAGACAGGAGAGTCACCTCTCTGAGCCCAGATAAGCCTCCACCCCTCCCGCCTGGTGTGGGAGAAATCGTGTGAGCCAGCCCAGTTTCCTGCCCTCTCTGCCCCTGTGGGTTACTGAGTGGTCTGGGCTTTGGCATCTGGTAGACCGACCCGGTGCTCGGTTCCCATCCATCCTTCTTGGCAGTACAAATGGAGCCTGCCCCTGCCCTGCTCACAGCCTCCATTTTCCCATATGTGGAATGGGCTCACCTTCACGCAAATCCACAGGGATCCTGTGGCTGTATCTCAGAATCACGATGCTCAGCGGAAACATAAGGGTATGACAGGGTACTTCACAGCTACGCTGCTGTGAATTGTTTTAAGCACAAACCAAGCCATGCATCATTTATCAGGGCTACACATACAGGTTAAGCAAAGTACAGAAGGTACCCGGGAAACCAAACACACCAAACCCACCGCCGTCGAGCTGACTCAGACTCACAGCCGCCCCACGAGTGTCAGAGTAGAACTGTGTCCCACGGGGTTTTCAATGGCTGATTTTTCAGAAGTACAGAAGCAGGCCTTTCTTCTGAGGCGCTTCTAGGTGTATTCAAACTGCCAAACTTTGGGTTAGTGGCTGTCTCAGTCATCTAGTGCTGCTATAACAGAAATACCACAAGTGGATGGCTTTAACAAAGAGGAAGGTCCATGTCATCAATCTTCCTTTGGTCTGGGAACTTCTCAGCACAGGAACCTCCGGTCCAAAGGACACGCTCTGCTCCCGTCACTGCTTTCTTGGTGGTATGAGGTTCCCCATGTGTCGCTGCTCACTTCTCTCTTTTATATCTCATAAAAGATTGGCTTAAGACACTATCCAATCTTGTAGACCTCATCAGTATAACTGCCGCTAATCCATCTTATTAGATCATAGTGACTGAATTTACAACACATAAGGAAATCACATCAGATTACAAAATGGTAGACAATCATACAATACTGGGAATAATGACCTAGCCAAGTTGACAGATATTTTTGGGGGACACAGTTCAATCCACGACAGTAGCCAAGTGCTTAACCATTTGCCTGACCCAGGGACTCTGGTACATTGTTGTTAGGTGCCGTCCAGTCGGTTCCGACTTACAGCGACCCTATGTTCACCAAAATAAAACACTGCCTGGTCCTGCAACATCCTCAAAATTGTTGTTACGTTTGAGCCCATTGTTGAAGCCACTGTGTCAGTCCATCTCGTTGAGGGTCTTCTTCTCTTTCATTGACGCTCTAATTTACCAAGCTTGATGTCCTTTTCCAGGGCCTAGTCCCTCCCGGTAACATGTTCAAAGTATATGAGACAAAGTCTCGCCATCCTTGCTTCTAAGGATCACTCTGGCTGTACTTCTTCCCAGACAGATTTATTCATTCTTCTGGCGGTCTATGGTATATTCAGTATTCTTCACCAACACCACAACTCAAAGACGTCAATAATTTTTCAGTCTTCCTTATTCACTGTCCAGCTTTGCATGCATATGAGGCGATTGAGAACACCATGGCTTGGGTCCAGCGCACCTTAGTCTGCTAGGTTAGTAGGAAAGTGCAAAGCGTTTGTGCCACCCAGCGACCTTTTCCGTGTACAGGGGGATTGGAATGTCAACACACATTTTGGGGGGACACAATTCCGTCCATAACAGTAGTCTACTTCCGTTTCTTCAAAGTAGTCAACTCTCGTCACCCATCAAAATGGTGCAGTAATATCAGTATTAAAAATCCTCGTGTGTCTCACTGTTGGGGTCGGTTAAAGTGTCATCTTTGGTCAGGTGTGGCAGCTGGTCTGGAAATGTTTGCTCTTGTGAAATCAGTAGCAGAAAGCAGGAAGGAGTAAAATACCTCCCGTGGGACACGTTCCCGGCGGCCGCTGGGAGTGGGTCAGTACATAGGTGTGGTTACCGCTGTTGACAGAAGGCGACCCTTGGCGTTTCTCGTCTTGTAGATGCATCTGTCTTCATTGTCTGCCTTCCTCTCCCCCATGTGTTGCGTCTCCATGCCTGTGCTCGTGTTTTATAACTCAGCAGTAATTGCGTTTAGAATCCACCCTACACAGGTATGGCCTCATTAACATAACAAAAGAAACCCTCTATTTCCAAACAGGGAGCCCCGGTGGCGCAGTGGTTAAGAGCTCAGCTGCGAACCAAAAGGTCGGCAGTTCCTTGGAAACCCTATGGGGCAGTTCTGCTCCGTCCAACAGGGTCGCTGTGAGTCGGAATTGACTCGACAGCAGTGGGTTTTTTTGGGTATTTCCAAACAGGGTCATATTTACTGGTCCCAGAAAACCAACCCCATTGCGGTGGAGCTGATTCTGACTCATGGCGACCCCATGTGCTAACGAGTACAACTGCTCCCTAGTGTTTCCTTGGCTGCAGTCTTTACAGAAGCGGGTCACCTGGGTTTTCTTCCGTGGTGCCGCTGAGTGGGTTGGAACCACCACCCTTTAGGGTGGTTGTGTGCGTGTCCTGGCGTCTCCTCACCCAGCATGCCCGCCAGTGCTCAAGGTTAAACTGGTGAGGCGTGGAGGCCCAGGGTTTTTTAGCCACAGACGCCACCCTGGCCTGCTCACATCTTGGCCCGTCCAGAACCGCGAGCTGCGGGGGGTAGCTGCTTTCGGCCCCATGTTTGCTACGAATGTTGGGCCACGTTGTGCGGGGGTGAGGCTGCTCTGTGCCGAGACGTGACCTGTTCTCTCTCTCTCTCCCGCCTTCTCCAATCCAGGCCCACTTTCCCTCTTGGTGCCAGCAAGGACCTGCTGTCCACCTTCGAGCAGCCGGGGCCCAAGCGGAAGCTGTACAGTGCAGTGCCTGGGCGGCTCTTCATCGTCGTCAAGCCATACCAACCCCAGGTCGACGGCGAGATCCCCCTGTACCGTGGTGACAGGGTCAAAGGTCAGTGCCCGCCCTTGTCTTCCTGCTTCCGTTTATCCCCTCGGCTGGCTTGCCAGGTGTTAGAGGTGAGGCAATGTCTCCACAGAGTCCCCTGTGGAGGGCAGGAATGGGGAGCAGGCTGAGGCAGGCCAGTCCCTACCACTCATTCTCTCGGAAGCAGCGACAGTGCCTCGGTCGCTGAGCCGAGTGGGGCAGATGACACACGTGTACCCATAAGAGGATTCCACTGTGGGGTGCTGGAAACGGCCAGACGAGAACCTTCCCGCCCTGAGAGCCTCATGAAAACGTGGCGTTGGGGCAGGTCCCAGGACTGGCCAGATTTGGACATGTCTTGGTAGAAGCAGGGCAGGGGTGTCCAGGTGGAAGGCCCAGCAGGAGCCCCAGCCTGGAGGTGAACAGTTCAACGTATAAATGCCCACTGGGTTCTGTGTTACAGAGAGGGTTCTCAGAGCAGAATTCTGGGAAATGCGGTGGAAAAGCATTCTGAGGGCAGCCTTGAATGCCAAGCCAAGGAGTTAAACTTTGTTCCATGGGTACTGGGGAGCCAGCGATGATTCCTGTGCAGAAGAAAGTTCTGATCTGTGACGTACTTCTGAAAAATGGATGCCGTGGTGCGTGTAGGACAGAGGGAGGTTGGTGGGACAGGAGCTGAGACCTGTCTTACTGAAGGCTAGGGGTGGGGTTAGAGAAGAGGCAGGTGTGGGTCACAGGAGGCTATGCTGGGGCACCCGGAGCTCACTGTGCAGAGCAAGAAAGGGCACACCATGAGTGCCCAGCCGTGTCTGGGGCTGCCATTGGAGGAAAGGCTTACAGAAGGTATATGGCACAGGGTGGAAGGTGTGCCAGGTTCAAATCCTGCCTTTCCCACTGACTAGCAGTTTAACGCTGAGCAGGTAATTAACTTAGCCCCTCTTTCTGGACCAAGCACTGTTCAGGACGACTTCACCTAGGTTACTGTACATTTCTAAGGATAGGTAGAGCACCGTTCTCTTTCTTAACTCTTTCTGGTGTTCCCACTACACATGTATTTGATTAGTTGAGAGTATCAAACAGGCCCCTGAAGCTCCATCCATTCTCTTTTTTTCTTCACTTAGGTAATTTCTACTAACCTATTTCACATTCACTTACTCTTTCCTCTGAGATGTCCTTTTGGGTGTTAAGTCCATCCTGTGATTTTTTTTTTTTTTTAATTATTTCAGAAATCATATTTTTTAGTTTTAGAATTTCCATGTGTTTTTTGTTTTTTTCTTTCTTTTTATCTGCTGAGACATGCTGTTACTCTACTGAGATTTTTATTCCTTGAAATCATGCTTTGTTCTACAGCACTGTGGATTGGTTTAATCACCATAGTTAAATCTTTAGCTATAGTTCCAACATCAGGTCCATCTTGGAGTCAGGCTCAGTTGATTTTCATTTCTCTTGAGAATGTCCTCCTTTTTCTTCATTCTTCACATGTGTGGTGATTTTGGATTGTGTTCGGGACATTGTGTGTGCTAAGTTGTGGAGATACTGGTTTTGGTGTCTCTCTCCGATGAGTTTCTTTCCTTTGTTTCTGTAGCTATTTTTCCTGGCTAGGCTTGCAGTGAAAACTCTATTTCTTGGGTGGTAGCTGTAAGCTCAGTTCAGATTTTGTACCTTTAGCTGAGTTGCTTTAAGTCAGTTCTACACATATGTTGTTAAGGGGTTGGTCAGAGATGTAGGAAGACTGAGTTTTCTGATCCCATTTCTGCCCTCTCTGGCTCTTTGCCTTGCTTGATTCTCCTGCTTTTTCATGACTCATGGTTTCCCACCTGTTATGGATTGAATGATGTCTCCTAAAAATATGTGTTGTAAATCCTAACCTCCCTGCGTGTAGTTATAATTCCATTTGGGAATGGGTTGTCTTTGTTATGTTGATGAGACAGGATTAGTGGAGGCTGTATCTGGAGTCAATCTCTTTTGAGATATAGAAGAGATTACACAAGCAAGCTAGGAAGCAGAGATGGGGAGAGAGACCAGGCCACATGAAGATGGCCCAGGAGCAAAACCTCGGAGGAGACAAGGACCTTCCCCTAGAGCTGACAGAGAGAGAAAGCCTTCCCCTGGAGCTGGCACCCTAAATTCTGACTTCAAGCCTCCTAAACCGTGACAAAATAAATTTCTGTTTGCTAAAGCCACCCACTGGAGGTATTTCTTTTATAGCAGCACTAGGTGACTAAGACGCCATCCTTACCTTTCTGGTTCCCAGGGCCAGAGGATTGCAGGTTTTCCCCCGGCTTCCCCTGGACCACCAGCCCTGCTGTCTCAGCTAGACTTGTTAGCTGCCATGGAGTCAGCCCCGACTCGTGGCCACCCCATGCACTCTGGAACCAAACCCTACCCAGTCTTGTGCCATCCGCATGATCAGTTGTGGGTTGAACTTGTTGTAATCCATAGAGTTTTCATTGGCTGGTTTTGGGAAGTAGCTCGCCAGATGTTTTTCCTGGTCCGACTTAGTCTGGAAGCTCCACTGAAACCTGTTCAGCATCATAGCAGCATGCAAGGCTCCACTGACAGGCAGGTGGTGGCTGCTTATGAGGTGCCTTGGCCGGGAATAGAACCCAGGTCTCCCACATGGAAGGTGAGAATTCTACCCCTGAACCACCACTGCCCCTGACTCTATGCAGTGTAGGGCTCAAAGCCGCGGAGCAGGGACTTCCTGCTGTAGCTGCCCTCCTTACCTCTCCTCCAGGCAAACACACGCGTCCACCAGAACCTGTCGATTTCCCGTCACCTGTCAGCACCTGCACGTGGTCACTTTCTGGATCATGCTCAGGTTTTACAGCGCTTTACCACAGGAATGCTCTAGGTGGGGTCTCCAGCCATCATACCCATTGGGCCTGGAATCCCTCAATTGTCCCATATAGTTTAAAGGAACATTTTTGTTAATTTCTAAGTTATAGAATTCACGTCACCTGCAGTTTGGGATGTCAGTAACACAGCCCTGCGTGAAGTGGACCATTGTTCTCCACATGTCCAGTCGTTCTCATTCGAGCCCACGCGTGGCAGACGCACTCGGATGCACTGGACCTTGCGGATGTGTTTGACGGCGGCCTGGGGGCCTTGTTCACAGCTGTACCCGCAGCGTTCACCTGGGGCCCTGCACACAGCCCGGGTTCGGAACGTGTTTGCTGGGTGAAGGGCCTTTGCTGGACGAAGCCTCTGGTTAGGATCATATCAGCCCGGCCTGCGGGCAGCCCGTCTGCTGTGACTGCTGCCTGCTGGTGCCCCACCATCTCCCACTGCGTTTTTTTCTCTCATTTCCCCGGGGCCTGCAGCCTCCTGAGGTCTGAAGGGCTCTGGGGAGGGAGGCAGGGCGGCTCACTGGTCCTCAGAGCTGCTGGTGCCCACGTAGCTTCGGGGGCTTCTCTGAGCCCATGGACAGAGCTGGCAGGGCCACGCTGGGGCCCAGGCCGGAGAAGTCCAGGCTTCACAGGCTTTTCTGAGCCTCCCCCAGAGCCTGTCCTCTCTAGCCTGGGCCCCTGACCACCTTTCTCTTAGGCCAAAAGCAGATACAGTGACGGTCAGGCCAAGAAAGCCACATCTGGGAGTGGACGCTGTCTGAGAACGCTGGGGCCAGGACAGGTTCGCAGGACTCCATGTGTTTAGGTGTCACTGCGTAATTAGGATCGGTTAACCAGTTACCATTGAGTCAACTCTAACCCATGGCAACTCCATGAGTGTCAGAGCAGAACTATGCTCCAAAGGGTTTTCAATGGCTGCTTTTTTCGGAAGTAGATCTCCAGGCCTTTCTTCTGAGGCACCTGTGGATGGACTCAAACCTCCAATCTTTTGGTTAAAAGCTGAGCATATTCATCATTTGCACCACGCAGGGACTCCCGGTGTTGAGGGGCCGTGCTAAAAATAATCCACATCTTTTCCAGTCGGTCAGTCCCCTGAGTCAGCAGAGTCTGCAGCCCAGGAAGCCGGGGAGGCCACATAAGGGGTGTCCATTTGTGCAAAGACATAGCATGCCCAGGCTGGGGCCTGCTTGCATCTCTGCCACGCCCCCTGCCCCCCCCCACTGTACCCCATGACCCCAAAACAGTCCTCTAGCCCCCCAGGCTCTGAAACAGGCTGAGGTGTTTGCACCCAGCCCTGGGCCTGTGTTCCCCTAGGACCCATCTCACCGTGCACCCGCAAACCCAGGTCGAGTCTGGTCAGACCAGCAGGCGTCAGGCACCGGGCTTTGTGTCCTTCTCTGTACATCGAGCTGATAATAGAATCGTGGGTGAGGGTGGAGGCCAGCGTGAGTGAGCGCCTGCTGTTTACCAGCCGTAGCACTGGGTAGGCTGCTATGGGATTTCATGTAAATCACTCAGTAACTGTGGGCCAGAGGTTTCGGGAAGCCATCTTTTACAGATGTGCATCTCAGGCCAAGAAATCTCACCACTACCCCACAGCTCATGACCCTATGCAAGGAACACCTGTTCCTACCTGGACACAGGTGCGCCTGTCAGGAAAATAATTAAACTTGCCCTTGAGCACGTGCGTAGGCAAAAGACCATGTGTGCAAGCCTTGATGCGTGCCCTCTGGCTCTGCATCTGCTCGTGCAGGCTGCTTAAGAGCAGAAGGGCCTTCGTGGGGCAAATCGGTTTACACAATGGATGTTGACTGTGGGACTCCAGTGTCCTGCCTCCACTGCTTAAAAAAAAATCCCCTGCCAAGTTAATTTTATAGTTTTGGTTTTCAACAGATCCATGGATGGAAGCACGTCTCCCAGCAAAAACTAGGAGGTGCTTCCCTGAGCAAAAGCAAGTTGAGAGTTTTTCTAGAAAGCAAAAGCTGGAAAGGAAAAAAAAAAAAAGTAGGAAAAAACAAAGCACTTTCCATATGTTTTGACGTGTCATCAGGCCAGATAAGGGCAGGACATACAAAACGCCTAAACATTCAGACTTACCTCTTCAAAAGGGCCGGGTTAAAGTCTGCATTGATGCTTCTAAACAAGCTAGCAAATGTGCGGGCCGAAGCATTCTGGAGGACAGTGAGATCAAAAGGAGACAGGAATTTCAAACAAGGGGGCTCCAAGGTGGAAGCATGCAAGCATCTTTAACTCTTTTTTTTTTACATTTATTTATTTTTTAAATAGTTTATTTTTTTAGTTGTTGTTGAAAATATACACAGCAGAACGTACACCAACTCAACAGTTTCCCCAAGTACAATTCAGTGACATTGATTACATTCTTCAAGGTGTGCGGCCATTTTCACCTTCTTTTTCCAAGTTGTTCCTCCCCCATTAACATAAAAGCACTGCCCGCCAAGCTTCTGATCTAATCTTTGGACTTGTCGATCGATTTGATCCCATATAGATATTCTTTAAAAGAGCACAATGCTCAAGGCAGACGTTCTTTCCTAATTAAGCTAAACTATTCGATGTAAAGAAGACTTCAGGGGATATTTTTGGCTTAAGGTTTAAAGATTAGCTCAGAGGAATAGTTTTGGGTGTTCATCCATCCTCAGTGGCTCCAGAACGTCTGGATTCCATGAGGATTTTAAATTATGTTCCACATTTTCCCCCCTTTTGATCAGGATGCTTCTCTTTGATTCTTTTAAAGAGGCTTTTTAACTCCAGCAAATCTGGAGAATAAAATACAAATTCAACAACAAGAACGCACGCACACAACATAGATACCTCTTTCTTTTATAAAGATGACCACCAACTACCATTTGTACAACTTCAAGCCCAGGAGCCATCCCTGGTCCCTTCCTTCCTCACTCATCCCCCTCAGCAGAAATTCCATTGTTTCCACTGCTCTTGATGCAGCCGAAACCAGTGAGCTGTGAAGGGCTACTCGTGTTGGGTAATTCCTTCCATGCATCACCTTGGTTTCGTTATATTTATCTCTCTGCTCTCTCCAGCCAGTTATAAAAAGCCTTCCATTGTTGCTGTTGGTCTTGTAATAACAATAACACACCCAGAAGTGCATACTTAATGGAGACGAAGCATAGAACTGGAAGTCATGATCCCCAGGAGGGGAGTTGGGAAGGAGGCCAGCTAGCAGCCATGGAATTTTTGTTCCATCATTGGTTAACTTGCCTGCTTCACACACAGCAACGCTGAGCTAAATGGTGTTATCCCACGCTGGCCAATGAGGAAACTGAGGCACAGGGAAATCAAGTAGCTCTCTCAAGTGTTACATACATAATATGCGGCTGAGTTCCCATCCAAGAAGATAGATACCAAGCTCTTCCTAAGCAATTTCCTTCTCCCCTGGCCCCTTTAAAACAAGCAAAAGAGCCGAGAAGAAAGGAGAACACCTTCTGTTCCTGGAGCTTTGACTGGCACGACGCAGGCAGGTCAGGCACAGCTGAGAGGATCCTCCCAGATCTGGAATCCTCTGGGAACTGTGGTGGGCATCCCAGTCAGCAGCGCTGAGTGGGGGCCAAGGGGCCAGCGTCGATGTGTGCCGGTCGGCTGGGATGTGACTTGTCTGGTCCATTTAGGCCATTTCTTCCAATTATTAGAAAAGAACTTATAAAGCTGGCGTTTTCGCTTCTGGTGACCTTCCGACATCGTGGATCGAGCCGTTCTTTGTCTGGCCTTTGAGATTAAAATGAGGAATAAAAGAAAAGGCACTTCTGTGGCCAGGATGCCCTTTTCAGTACTTCTGGAGCCTTCGGATCCTGAGTAATTTAAAAGAAGGTTCAGATATTCAGACATTATATTGCTTTCCCATTGCTCAGTCGGCTGAAGGGAAGAGGGCATGGGGACATCCCCAGCCCGGCACAAAGGCCCAAAATTCCCTTCCCGCAGCCAGCTTTGCCCTTACCTCCAAACATTCGCCAGCATGGTGCCTTGGGGAGCAGGTTGGTCCTTGTGCCCTCATCCCCCCGGGGGGCTCTGGGCCCCTCCTTCTCCCCCGTGCTCACCATCAGTCGGGTCTAAAATCACAGACACCCAGGACTGACGGGGAATGAGCTTTCTGAGTGGGGCCCGTGCACAGGAGAAAGCCATTAAGCAAACTAAGCCACTTGGACTTTTCTTTCTATCAGTTATGTTTATTGAGGACCTACTGTGCGCTCCCACCTCCCGTCTGTCAGTGTGTTGTACTGTGGTGGTTTGCGTCTTGCTGGGATGCTGGAAGCTACGCCACCGATATTTCAAATACCAGCAGGGTCACCCATGGTGGACAGATTTCAGCAGAGCTTCCAGACTAAGACAGACTAGGAAGAAAGGCCTGGCTATCTACTTCCAAAAATCAGCCAATGAGAACTCAGCGGATCACAACAGAATATTGTCCAACATAGCACGGGAAGATGAGCCCACTAAGTTGGAAGGCACCCAAAATGCACAGTGGCCGCAACAACAGACTTGCGCATACCAACAATTGTGGAGAAGGCATAGGACTGGGCAGCGTCTGTTGTGTATGGGGTTGCCATGACTCGAAATCGACCCAGCAGCACCTGGCTTCGGTTCTTTTTGACCGGGTACCCAGCACTTAGCCCAGGGAGAGAATGCCTAGCCCAGACTCACCAGCTTCCCACGCCTTTAGGCTGGGCCAGCTGTGTCCATGCCAGTTCTGACGGAGCAAACCCTTGTGCCCCCAGCGGGGGTGGGATGGCAACTGTGTTATGTGGGTCACTTCCTGTATATGTTGCCCGACCTTGAAAACCGGGGCCCAAGAGTTGACATTGTTATAAACATTGCTGAGGGCAAGCTGACGCCCTGTGTGTATTTCTGTCTCAAACAGCAGTGAGCCCCTGCTGTGTGGCAGACACAAGATGGCGCCCAATGGACAGGTCCCAAGGATACTGGTCTTCTCTATGTGTTTACTGTGCAGACTGGTTCCCCTTTAGACAAGGTCACTGCGTTTGCCACTACCGCCTTCTCCAAGGGGGCCTCTTTTTTCCAGCCAAAGGTCATGGGGCACTGGGAGCTGGGACATGCAGTGCAAGATATGAAGATGAAAGGACTTCTCACACCCACGTCCTTTCCCCTTGTCCTCCTGACATACAAGATCTGTGGACGTGGCGACTATACCCCTCTCTACCATTCTCTCCCAGGGAAAGTTGGCCAAGTCCCCATGTCCGCAGGAAGCACTGTCACGGGGCAAATGGACAATCACTGCTTGCTTTCCAGGCTTGGTTGAGGGGGCTCTGCCAGCTCTCTCCCCTGCCCGGCTCCCTTTGTCCCTATATTGTGTTGTTGTTGGGTGCCATCATATCAGTTCCGACTCATAGCAACCCCGTGTACAGCAGAACGAAACAGTGCCCGGTCCTGTGCCATCCTCACGATCGTTGTTATTGTTATGCTTGAGCCCATTGTTGCAGCCACTGTGTCAACCCATCTTGTGGAGGGTCTTCTTCTTTTTCACTGACCCTCTACTTTACCAAGCAAGATGTCCTTCTCCAGGGACTGGTCCCTCCTGACAACATGTGCAAAGTAAGTGAGACAAAGTCTCGCCATCCTCGCTTCTAAGGAGCATTCTGGCTGTACTTCTTCCAAGATGGATTTGTTTGTTCTTTTGACAGTACATGGTATATTCAGTGTTCTTCACCAGCACCATCATTCAAAGGCATCAATTCTCCTTCGGTCTTATTCATTGTCCAGCTTGCGTGTGCATAGGAGGCCATTGTGAATACCATGGCTTGGGTCAGGCACATCTTCGTCCTCAAAGGACATCTTTGCCTTTCTACACTTGGGAGAGGTCTTTTGCAGCAGATTTGCCCGACGCAGTGCGTCTGCCTATATTAGAACTGCCGTAACAGAGTACCACAAAGTGAGTGGCTTAAAACAACTGAAGTTTATTTTCTTGCCTTTCTGGAGGCCTGAAGTCTGAGCGCAGGGGTCAGCGGGTCGTGAAGGCTCTGGGGGAGGCTCCTTCCTTGTCTCTTCCAGCTTCTGGTGGCCCCAGGTGTTCCTTGACTTGTGGGCGCATCACTCCCGTCTCTGCCTCGGGCACATGGCTGTCTCCCCATCCTGTTTGTTCTCTTCCATAAGGACACGATTGAGACGGAATTAGGACTTGATGTTAACTGATCACCTCGTCAAAGACCCTAATTCCAAACAAGGTCACGTTCACAGGTACCAGGGGTTAGGACTTCAGCCTGTCTTTCGGGGAACACTGTTTGACCCACTGCACTCTGTCACCATCTCTGCCTTCTGCGTTCCTGCCACCTGACACGTTTCCCCTTCTCTCGTCTCTAGTTCTGAGCATCGGCGAAGGGGGCTTCTGGGAAGGCAGCGCCCGCGGCCACGTCGGGTGGTTTCCAGCCGAGTGTGTGGAGGAGGTGCAGGGCAAGCCCAGGGACGGCCAGGCAGGTAAGACAGGGCACCCTGTGAGCCCATCATGCTCGGGGCATCCTGGGAGCCCGCCTTGTGTTCTCTGATCTACTGTCTGCAGCCCTGGGGTCAGCCTGCCTGTTGAGCTCCAGTGTGTGGCAAGAATTGGATATTGCGTTATGTATGGAAGAAGTTGAGTTTGAAACAGAAAGACTTCTCTAAATCATTGAAAACAGGTTGATTGATTAAATTTCCCTGGACTTTGTCCAAACCAGAAAAATCCACCACATAATGGTGTGGTGGCTTTTAGTTAAAAGTCTGCTCAATGCGCTCTCCAGGAAACGCGGATCGTAAGTTCTAGCAGTCAGAAAAAAGACATTTTGGTTGATTAAATGCTCGAATCCTCTTTTTTGATCTCTTATACTGATGTCATAAAGCAGGCAGCTTTGTATTGACCATTCCCACCCTAAGAACTGTATCATTTGGGTGCCGAAGTGAACAGGGCTCAGAAGAGTTCGATGTTAACAATAAAACATCATTCCGGCATATCTCCGAACTCCTGGATACAGCACTTGCTGAAAATGGCTTTAAAACAGATCGCCAGGTGATTGAATGGATTACAATGTTAAGACAAGACCACTTATATAAGATTGTCTTGAGGAAAAAATTAGGTGAGTGTTGGGGAACGTGAAATACTCAGTGTCTTATGAGAAGAAACTGGTCCAGTCACGCGCGGTTTCCGGCTTCTGGTGGGATGTCTGACTTGTAAGGCATGTCACCAGTGGCCGCGTTCAGTGGGCGGTCTGTGACTTTGCCACTGTCCCTGTGCAGAGCCTGAGCTCTCTGCTCAGACGTGACCATCCCGTCAAGGGTGGCCCCTGCCCCGTCATCAGGTCTACCCGACTCGAGCGGGCTGGACAATGAGGAGTGGAAGAAGCGTGTACTCTGGCGTCTCGCTGTCCCCTAGGTCTCCCGCCGACCTGCTGGCTCTGTAGGTCTGTCAGGGAATCAGCCTCTCATCGACGTGGGGCCACTCTGGGCTGAACTGTCCTGCTGCTGAGTCTCTGCTCAGGGTCAGGCAGCAGAGGGGACAGGTAGTATCGCCATGTTGGGGTGCCAGGGTAAGAAATGCCCCAAACTTAGCCTTGAACGAGGAGATTGGATTGTAGCCGCCAGCCTGCTGCTCGGGGAAGGCGGCTGGGTGCTCAGTGGTCAGCAGGGAGGTAGGAGCGTCTTTTTCTGGGTGGGTGATGGAATGCTGAGTCCTGGCAAAGCTCAGACCTCCTCTGGCCCCTCCAATGTCCTCCTCTGCCTGGTCTTCCCCCGGCCTCTCTCACCTGTGAAGGGCAAAGCTGCGACCTGTGAGCTTAACTCACCTTCCCAGGTTGCTTCGTGCCTCTGCTCCCTCTCCTCCTCCCCTCCTGATTCCTGGGAGGACCCGGCCCTCCTCATCCCCTCACCTCCTCCTCCCTGTCCTTCTGTTTACCTTCAGTGCTCGCTGGCCCCTTCCTCCTTCTCTGCCTCATTAGCTGAAAACACTGCCCATACCTGGGTGGCCCGGGATGCCAGCTCCTGAGGGTCGTTTTGCCTTTCTCGCGCCCTGTGTCCTCGGGAACCCTGGCTTCCCTGGAGGTGGGGAGACAGAGATGGCAGGGGCAGCTGGGAGCTCCGCCTTCCTTTCTTTCCTGCAGGCTTCCCGCCCCACCTGCCTGCCTTGCTCCGGGGGCGTTTTCTCCCGTTTCCCTGGAGAGCACTGTATGGGACCCAATGACATCTCCCCTCCCAGGCTGGTGGCCAGGTGGGGCTTGTCCAAGCTGATCTGCATCCTCTGGAAGGAGGGGCAGTGGCTTGTGTTTGTGTTTATTGTGGGAAGCAGCTGTCGTGAGTGACGGAAATCTCTAGAAGGATGTTCTTGCTGCCAATCACACTTGGCAAGATGGTATCCTGGATGAAACCATCTCCGTCTGGACTGATGGCCAGCTTGAGGTCAGCATTCCAGAATGCTCTGGCAGTTCTGGTGACGGTCACTGTTATGGATTGAATTGTGACCCCTGAAAATATGTGCCAACTTGGCTGGACCATGATTCCCAGGACTGCATCGTTGCCCACTATTTTGTGATCTGATGTGATTATCCTACGTGTTGTAAATCCTACGTCTGTGGTGTTAATGAGGCAGGATTAGAGGCAGTTATGTTAATGAGCAGGATTCAATCCACAGGGTTAAGTGTATCTTGAGTGAATCTCTTCTGAAATATAAAAAAGAGAATTGAGCAAAGAGGTTGGGGACTTCATACCATCAAGTATGAAAAATCAGGAGGGCATCCTTTGGACTCGGGGTCCCTGTGCTGAGAAGCTCCTAGACCAGGAGAAGATTGATGAGAAGGACCTTCCCCCAGAGCTGACAGAGAAAGCCTTCCCCTGGAGCTGGTGCCCTGAATTTGGACTTCTAGCCTCCTAGACTGTAAAAGAATAAATTTCCATTTGTTAAAGCCATCCACTGTGGTATTTCTGTTATAGCAGCACTGGATGACTAAGACAGTCACTAGAGGGCTGTCTGCCCATGAGTCCTCGGCAGCCTGAGAATGCGAGGCTGATCGCTGATTATCAGACGCTGAGAGAATGAAGGTGTTCATTCCTGCTATACCTGATCCTGAGCGACTCCCGTCCCCCAGTTCTTGCTGGGTCTCAGAGGGAGACCGATAACCTGCTCACCGCCATTGCCCTTAAGGATCTTAGGAGCTGGAAGGATGGTGTATGAGTGTCCCATTGCTGCTGTAACAAATTCCCACAGATTTCATGGCTTGAAGCAACACAGATTTACTGTCTTATGGTTCTGTAGGTCACAAATCCAGTGACGGCCTCACCGGGCTAAATCAAGATGTTGGCAGGCTGTGTTCCTCCTGGGAACTCTGGCAGAGAATCCGTCCCCTTGTCTTTTCCAGCTTCTAGAGGTTGCCCACATTCCTTGACTTGTGGCCCCTTCCTTCATCTTCAAAGCCATCAATGGCGGGTCAAGTCCTTCTCAAATTGCATCTCTCCGACCCTTCCTTCTGCCTCTTCTCCCACTTTTAGGGACTCGTGATTACTTTGGGTCCACCCGGATAATCCAGGGTAATCTCCCGTCTCAGAGTCAGCTGATTAGCAACCTTAATTCCATCTGCCGCCTTAATTCCCCTTGCAATGGAACCTCAGAGGTTCTGAGGATTGGGACGTGGGCCTTTTTGGGGGACTGTTTCCCTGCCAACCACAAATGGTAAAGTATGAACGTGATAGCTGAACAGAAAAGTAGAAAGATCTGAATTCGAGGAGGAAGCACCCCTGTAACTGGAGTGGGGTGCGCTGAGGAGACCAGCACGCAGAAGGCAGACATTGAGCTGAATGTCGAGAGTGCTGGATGGAGGCTGGCCTGATCCTTCCTCCCTAGAACTGTACCAGTCGGACAAGAATAAGGAACACCCCTGACAGCAGATCTCAAATAAGAACCAAAGATGAAAGACTGCCCAGAGCATCCCTCGCACCCGTAGACGAGCCGCTTTATGAAAACTAACACATATACACCTAACTTTCTGCGACGCGTCTCATGTGTAAAGGGAAGCGGGGACACCAGGACTTCTTTATTCGTCCCTAAGAAAATGACCAGGTCAAACAGCACCCGAGGAAATTGGATTTCAGAGAACCTCTCTGATGAGCAATGTTCATTTAGAACAAAAAGGGCAGAGTTTTGTGACTATGAGAGAAAAAAAAAAAATTGCTGCTGTCAAGTCAACTCTGACTCATGAGTGACCCCATGTGTGTCAGCGCAGAAAACTGTGCTCCATAGGGTTTTCAGTGGCTGATTTTGGGGAAGTAGATCACCAGGCCTTTCTTCCAAGGCACCTCTGGGTGGACTTGGACCTCCAGCCTGTCGGTTAGCAGCCAAGCACTTCACCATTTGCAACACCGAATATAACCACCCTTGCCCCCGCCTCTAGCCTCCAGTGACAGGCAGAGTCTGGTCACATGGAAGCTGCTGAGGTCAGTGAGGTGGCCTGGTACTGGTCAGTTCAGACCTTGTGCAAGATGTTGATAACTCCAGAACATATGCAAATGAGCTGTCCCGTGCGTTTCGGGGAGCGTCACGGCAGATGGAGCACACGCTGTACGCACCGATGGGGCCAGCTGGGGATAAGGATTAGCCGGGCCCTTCCTCATTTGGCTGTTTTTCCAGGAAGATGGGATCAGTCAATATTTAGGAGTTGCTCCCTATGGCTTGTGGATAAGCCACTTGTTATCTGGCAGATCTTCCTGCCAGATTCTTCCTGTCAGGTGGGTGGGCGTCGACTGTTGGGATTTTAATTTGCGTTTCCGTTATTACTTCTGAGGGAGTCCCTGGGTGGTGCAAACAGCGAATGCACTCGGCTGCTAACCGAAAGGCTGATGGTCTGAACCCACCCAGAGGTGCCTCGGAAGGAAGGCCTGGCAACCTGCTTCCCTATGAAGCACAGTTCTACTCTGACACATGAGGTCGCCATGAGTCGGAACCGACTCGGCGGCAGTGGTTTGCGTTTGCTTTATTACTCTGGAGGCTGAGCACTTTTTCTCCCGTTTAATGGCTATTTATATGGGTTACTTCTTCCGTCAGGCACCGGGTCAGGTCTTTTTCTGTGAGGCTGTTTGACTGTTTCTTATTGATTTGTAGTTGACCTGTACCTGTGCTAGAAGGAAGCCCTTTGTCAGTTTTATGCACTGGCAAACATTTGTTCTGCACCTTGGCTGGTCTTTTCCTCAAGGGCTGGGGGCTCCGTAGGGTTTTCAATGGCTGATTTTTCGGAAGTAGATTGCCAGGCCTTTCTTCTGTGGCACCTGTGGGTGGGCTTGAGAAGCCAGGCCAAGGGCTCAGCGCCTTCTGCAGACCCCAGTGCCAGCTCAGGTGTAATCACTCTGCTTCCTTTTCACTGTGTTTAATTTTAAGGTCTCTTCGGCTAATGGCAGATAAAACGGTAATGTAAAGAGCTTCCTGTGGAAATAAGGAGCCCTGGTGGCGCAGTGGTCAAGCGTTT